GAAGACAGGGTATATATAAAATGGAATCATTTTAACCAAGCTGCTAAAATTATTAACATGAAGGTTGAGGCATGAGGAAGGACTTTGTTCTTGTTCTTAACTAGCACGGGAACTTAAACTTTTTTTAACTTTCCAGTCCTGCGTCAATTCCTAGATTTACAGCTGAACCTCCAGATAACCCTCTGATTATCCCCGAAGGACTCAGGTATCCAGACCACCTGATTACTTCCTGAAGGACAGGTATTCATCCACCTGACATCTATCATTCATACTGCCTGACATCTGACTGATAACTGCCCTGGACCAATCCTAGGAGTAAGAATGCAGGACTGAAAATTCTCAAGAATGTAATTTTTACTATAAAAACTTATAACTTTTCTTTCTTCTTTGGAACACTTCTGGGTTTTCACCTAGCTGTATTCTAAATTTGCAAACTCCAAGATTCTTAAATATCATTTATTTCTAGCCAAAACTGCTCCAGACTCCGAGTTCATTCGACACTAACAAATCTGTGTTGTTTTAAGCGACTAGTTTGTGGTAATTTGTTACTGCAGCAATAGAAAACTAATACAGCTGCTAATATATAAAAGCTGGAAGTTTTCATATAAAAATCTTGAAAACTAAATCTAGTGATACAAAAGAAGAGCAGCAGCTGCCCCCTTTAAACAAAGGATGTATTTCTCATTTCACTGCAGCCCTCAACCCTCACTTTTGTCTACACCTGGCCTACTATGCTCATTTACAAGACCTCCCTAGTCCCTCTAGGTACTTAAGCTTTAGAACCCTGCTCTGAGCTACACTGTCTCCCAAATAGTAATAGAATTTCATCAGTTAAAGGCAAGTAAATCCAGGCTCCCTAAAATTATTAACTGTCAATTATAAGTCCTTTCATTTGCATATAACCTACGGCTAGTTAGTTACTTCTCTGCAAAATGGAGGAAAACTTATAGTACCTACCCGCTATGGCTGTTTTTTTGAGGACAAAATGAGATACTAAATGAAAAGTGCATTCTCCAGTGTCTGGCACATGTAATTAACATACGCTGCCTGTCTTTAGGATCTTTAAGTTCCTAACGCATTACTTTTTCTTCTATCCAATTACTGCCCGAGGTCAAGTTTCTAGAAGGCAAAGAATGTACCAGCGGAACCAATACCTTCTACCTGTTCATAGGAATCCCTGAAAGTTTTGCGATCTACCTGCCTCACCTAGCGAGGGCTTCCTGCAGACACGTCCTTCACCGCCGGCAGGGGGAGTCGCGGCTCTGCCGGATGCTAATGACCTGGCGGCCCCGCCCACTGCCGGAAGTGGCAGCGACGAGAGGCGGGGCCTGGGAGCTCGGCCCAGCTGCTGTGCGGGAGCCTGGCGGCCTC